AAAAGAGGCTACTGGCACTACTTCAAGAGTGTAAATTCGTAAAAAAATTCTTTATTTTGTTTGTTAAAATTTCCTGTGTGTTTCCTCGTCATTATCATCCTTCATTAATTTTCTTAGCGTAGGTAAATCAATTGTTCATTTTAACCCTTAATCCCCACGTCACTATAACTATACCATTTCACTGAAGCAGACGTTAATTGCACGAGAACGCTATTACATACTCTTTCTTTCTTTCTTTCTTTCTTTCTTTCTTTATTTCTTTCTAGAAACTCATATATATAGCTTTAATGTATCCCAGAATAAGACTTGCCGGAAGTTTGAAAAAAAAAAGATTAAAGACTACTCTGTCCACTGTTGCTATACGAAGAATGTGTGAGCAGAGGACAAACAAGATATTACAGGGCACAACATATGTGCTAATTAAGGAAAAAATAGAATTATAACATGACTAGTTAAAAGTTTCACGGTTTTCCTATGTTAAATTTCTGATGAATCCTAATTCTTTAGTTAATGGATGAGTAAGTTCATGGCCTGTTCTACGATAATAAAATTTCAATAGAAATTCCTCTATCGCATCGTTAACGATTTGAGCTTAACAACTTTAACAAAATATTATAATAACAATGATAAATATGATTGCTTTGGTGGTTATTTTAAGAACTTAAGGAGTGGCAAATGAAAAAATTTAAGTTGACAACTTTTCCATTTCAATGACACAGCCTTTCTTTCCTTCATTTTCTCACTGAAACCAAGTAGAATTTAATCTTGTAAAATTGAAACTGCTGGATGTAAGAAATGATTTTTCCACTGATATCTCCACGGTTTTGAATTCAGGGTCATATTTCTCATAGAATGGTTGCCAACCAAGGCAGTGTTAATTCGCAGCTGACAGAAGATGGAGAAGAAGCAAGGACCCTAACGCGAAAAGAAAACAAATTATCTAAGAATTTGATTTCGGCTCGTGATTGTGAAAAATAGATTTAATAATCAATGTAAATAAACATTGATATCAAGTTAGTATAATGCTTACAGACATTGAAAATGAAATCGATGAGCTCAAATTCCGGTTTAGTCTGTTCTGTTAATTTCCGCTTAAATGCCCTTTGAAAAGACATGAAACTGTCTTTACTCTCGGTTATGAATTAAATTGCAAAGTAAACTCTATAGTCTTTGTTGGTAAATTGTCTAAGAGAAGGAATACTCTTAATTCAATACAGTCGCAGAGTTAACTGGAAACCACTCCACTATATTTCTCATGTAATGATATAAATTCACAAATATTGAAGAAAAATGAACCTGTGAAGAGCAATGATACATCCCGAAGGAACATGGCATTAAAAAAAAAAAACAGCCAGAACTATGAATTAAAAAAGCAAGGTAGACGAATCTATGTCCTTATGTAGCACCCAGTTCATACTGCATTCAAAATAGTTGAGAAGACAGACAGATGTAACAGTTTCTTCTATCGCGGTTCTCGCTTGTGGAACTCTCTTTCGGCTTCTTGTTTTCCAGTCATGTTTGATCTCTAAATAATGTAAATGCAATGTTAATTTCTATATTTGTTTTCTTAATTTCTGTTCTTTTACTGTTCTCTCGTATTAATAATGTTTTCTTTTACATATATTGTTTCACACTCAGTAACCCCCAGCTTTGCTGCCATGCTTGGGGTAAAATAATGTTTTTTTTTTTAAAAAAAGATACCGCAATTCAAAGACGCTAAAGATGATAAATGGATCTGTATCGTGTCATGATAATCTACACCACGAAAGCATATAGTGTTTTAAAAACATGAAACTGTATCTAATTGTTCAAATGAATTAATGTAGAAAACGATTTTCATTAAAAATTATATTAAATAAGAAGTGTGACTATTCTTGCCTCAAAGCACCCGTTTAATTATGACAAACCGATCATTTCCTAAAGAATTTTCTCCAAAAGTAGTTGTCAATGTATAAAAGGAAAAGGATCTCTAAATTTACTTGACCTTAGACTGAGTATTTCTGAGCATCACAACTTGCTGACATTTTATAGAAATGACCAATAAACAGTTTACTGGCAAGTAGCTGCTTAGATCACGTCAACATGAAGAGATTTGAATGTGATGATATCAGGTTATTGGGACACTTGTTTGAAACTGTTGCTCTCAAGAATAAAATGGTATTATTGGTTAAAATGTAAACGATATTTGTTTCCATACAGTGTCAGTAGTTTAGTGTGATGCAATAAATGTTTAATATACTGATATATATATATATATATAGAGAGAGAGAGAGAGATAAATGTGTGTGTGTGTGTGTGTGTGTGTGTGTGTGTGTGTGTGTGTGTGTGTGTGTGTGTGTGTGTGTGTGTGGAGAGAGAGAGAGTGAATGAAAGAGAGAGAGAAAAGTGAATTAATACAAGTAAAATGTTTGTCACTTAGCTGATTGATGTTGCCTTCAGCATCCCGACTCCAGTGTTTCGTAGACGGACCCTCCGGGAATCACTGTCTACTTGTTAGGGGGTAAAGAATTAATGGATTTTATTTTTTAATCCAACATTTTTATTACTTTAAACGATATTTTTATTGAATACATTCAGTGGCTCTTGGGCTTGTATTGGAAAGAAAGAAAGAAAGAAAGAAAGAAAGAAAGAAAGAAAGAAAGAAAGAAGTGAAAAGAGTCTACTAACTGGATGGTAATTGTTGAAATTCACACGATAGATTGAAAAGTTGTGAAAAAAATTAAGAACGAAATGCGGTTAAAAATCAAGAAATGCGGTTAAAAATCAAGTTTTAAAATAATTCCAAGGAGAATCGATCCCAAATTTAACTAAACGGATTTCAGTAAGTCTGATCAAATCTAAGACAACCCGTCCCTGTTACTCCTGTCGATGAGAAAGAGGCCATTATGATATCCACGAAGATGTTAGATAAAATAAAAACATGTTGTTGATAAAGAGACCAGGATGGTCACCGATATAGCATTTAAAGACCGCTAACATTTGGTTTGATTCAACCAACCAAAAATGAAGTGTTTCCACAGAGATAGCGAACAGCTTTGTGCATTCGTCATTATAATATATTAATTATTATTTTGGAGTGGCCATAGACAAAAATGGCTGTGTGGTTTGTTGATCGTAAAAACGCATAAACAGAGGAAAGATAAACTGTTGTTTTTATCACCAGATCGAATGGGAATAATCTTCTTTCTTTTCTTTCCCATTTCTTGAGTTGTCTGGTCGATCGAGAAATCACAGCATGGGACAAGCTGATAAAGATTAATGACTGAAAATCCTTTTTGATTTCGCTACGCTATCTGGAAGTTGAATTCGTCACACCAGCCCTAGGAGTGGGCTGATGTTAGCTACTGATAAAGTGTGAGAAGAGAGAGAGAGAGATTAGCACCGCCTATTTGGAGCGATGGTGCGAGGTGAGACATGACGGCAGTTGGAGTTAAGAGGTGACTTGATTCTTCTGACTACTTTCAAAAAGGAGCTGGGCAACCACAAATTTGGAAAATCACTTGAGTATATGTATTTTTATATATGAATTTTAGAAAAGGTTGATGCTTAGGGTAGAAGACAAACGAACCCAGACCTTAGTAAACCCCACCCCCTCCAGGACACAGGACACCATACAAGCCTGAGGTTTGAACAATTTGTAGAGAGTCCCCACACTACTGCTACTGGAATCCACATCGTTCGTCGGGACCTCCTGAAGATGACTTTGTACCAACTAGTAAAGTTATATTATTGGTTACCATTGACCAGGATCGACAAGTGGCGTTATAATAGTTGCAAAAGATAAGTTGAACACTTATTGTTATTTGTTGTTATGTTTAATTATATGAGATGCGTTCAAAAAGTATCCGAGCTTTGGGCATAAAAAATTAATTTTGTACATTTCACAAATTATATTTAATCACATTCAAAGTACTCCCCTGAGTTCACACACTTCTCCCAGTGGTTCTTCCACTGCTGGTAAAAATTCTGGAATGCTATGGCTCTTCGCCTTCGTTTTTCTCATAATTCCCTCTCAGGACTCAAGTCGCTTCTACTTCATAATGGTTTTCAGGTTGGGCAGGAGCCAGAAGTCACAGTGAGCGATGTCAGGAGCCAGTCGAACAACTGGTGTGTTGTTCTTAAGCTGGGAACTTTTAATTATATGAGCGGAATGAGGGGCCGTATTTCGCAAAACTCCGCATGCGCAAATCTTCTGTTAAAATGGAATGTATCGATCCCGTTCTTATAGCCACTCCGTGAAAAATTTTCTTGGATGATGTATGGCCATGTTTGAAGCTGTTATACCCCTTCTTGATCTGTGCTCTACCCACTCTGGCATCACTGCCAAAGGCCTGCTGAATCTTCTTGATGGTTTAATAATCATATCACCAAGTTTTGGCAAAACGATGCAACATCTCTACTCGGTGTAGTCAGTCATCTTGCATGAAAACAAAAATCCAACGACTACGCCCTACACGTCTGTACTCTAGACGTAAGGGGCGGGAAGGGAGGAGTCACGACCCACCGAAAAGATTTTGCCCACGCAGTATTAGTTTTTACGGGAAAAAATTAAGTCGGATAACTTTTGAACGCACCTTGTATAATAATTTAGTCTGTGTATGGGAATGTGATTGCATGTGGGGGCCTATAAGTGAGTGATCGTATTCCAATAATTGTTTACGGGTAGGGAGGTAGGTATCTCCTGGTTTTATGGGTTCAGTGACAGATGAAACTGTACATGCAAATAACTGCGAAATACCGTTTTGTATCTGTCTTGTTTACAACACAGAGAAAATGTAATCAGCTAATTTACTTATTGACCGACAAACTTCATTTACAGTTTTATATTTTCTTGTCCACCATAGTGGGTAAAAAAAAAATAATAGTATAAAAACAAAATAAAATTAAAATGTACAGATCAAGAGTAATTTTCGTAAAGTTTAATAGGTCATTTACCCCCACACGCATACCCTGAATCTCGACAATAATCAGGGTGCCCATGTAGAAAAAAGTATTTGCCTATGCACTCATTTCAATCATCACGTCACTCATTCTTTTTCCTTCCCTCTGGTTATCAGGCCATTTGCATGTCAGGATTTAATCTCCTCCTTCTCCTTTCTCTTTTTTTCTGCGTTCCTATGACTGTCCGATTGCCTGTTCAGCCATCGTTCTAAATTTGCTCACACCACCCTTTGTGTGTATATATATATATATATATATATATATATATAGTGTGTAACCCGGATATAAGAGACCTGGATATAAGAGAAACCCGGATATAAGAGAAACCCGGATATAAGAGACTTCTTCTCCGGTCCCGACAACTCTCTTATATCCGGGTTACACTGTATATATATATATATATATATATATATACATCCTAACAAATTGCACGACTCGTATTGCAATGTGCATGAAACTACGAGTCGTGCTATTGGTGAAGGTATATTTATTAATATATATTTAAGAGCTCTTTTGTATAACATCGAGCACTGTTTTATTAACACCACCACAATATGTGCGATGTAATACACACACACACACACACACACACACACACACACATATATATATATATATATATATATATATATATATATATATATATTACTAGTATCCAGCCAATACAAGCCCAAGAGCCACTGAATGTATCCAATAAAACCAATAAAAGTATCGTTTAAAGTAATAAAAATGCTGGATTAAAAAATAAAATCCATTAATTCTTTACCCCCTAACAAGTAGACAGTGATTCCCGGAGGGTCCGTCTACGAAACACTGGAGTCGGGATGCTGAAGGCAACATCAATCAGCTAAGTGACAAACATTTTACTTATATTGATTCTCTCTCTCTCTCTCTCTCTCTCTCTCTCTCTCTCTCTCTCTCTCTCTCTCTCTCCATATATATATATATATATATATATATAGTATAAGTTACTTTGACCCACACATAAAATGTATCGCCACTTTTCTTTTCATATAATTTCATATTTTGGATACCTATGTCCAAATAAACAAAATTTAACATAAACAAAAATTATTTTTGGCTAATTAAAGCAAGTTTTACACTGTTTATAGAATCGTTGTACATGAAGTGGGAGGTGATAAATCTGTTGATTCTGTTCTATGTACTGTGTTCCTTCAGGACATGGGCGATCATAGCTCTCCACAACATCCTGTCCATAATATATATATATATATATATAAATTTTCAAGCAAGTTTTGTTAATAATCTAGGTACATTATTATGTCTATTTCTATTTTAATCCTTTCAAATTCAGGGATCAATTTCTTAGTGGTGTTAAAAAACGGAGTAGGAAAGACGCCATAGTTTTGATTAGGTTTAAGAGGATTAAAATTAAAATAAAGATAACCAAAAATATGGTTTCTTTTTTACTTAGTTTTGTAACAGCACTAAGAAATTTATCCGTGAATTTGAAAGAATTAAAATAGAAATAGACATAATGTGCCTATAGTAATCAGGAAAACATGATTGAATGAAGATATGATAGCTAAATATATACCAAGCCTAGACATCATATATATATATATATATATATATATATATATATATATATATATATAGAGAGAGAGAGAGAGAGAGAGAGATAGTGTATATTTAGGCAGCATATTTTCATTCAAAAAGGTTTGGTTAAATAATTTAGACATATCATATCGATTAGTTGTCATGTGACCCTTTCAAGTTCACGGATTAAATCTTTTTTGTGTTCTCAGATGCGGGTCTTTAGGAACATCAAGGAAATGTGATTTGCGTTTAGATAACCATTCAAATTCTCTCGTGTTACACCGCAACAACATAGGAAATAACTTTAATTTCACGAATGACAGCTTTATCAAAAAAGAACATAACCCTTTAAAGAGAAAGTATTATAAAAAATATACTCATAGCAATATTACCTACTATTAACACATGTTTAAAAAAACTACATTACATTTTTCTACAGATCCATTATTCATGAATGTAACTTATCTCTTCCGAATACACAAAAATCAATATACATACAAAATACGCGCGAGATATACTTTAATGAAAAAAATTTCAAAACATCCTGCAGCGTCTTACTAACCATTACACACTTCATCATCCTTTATGTTTTCTTACTTATATCAATATTAACTGTTATTTTGTAACATATCCAATCAAAGCATCCTACTGCATCTTACTAACTTATACACGTCGAGAACGTTTGCCACTTTTAAATATTTAAATATTATCTGTTACTTCATTACACGTGACACCAATAAGAAACCGCCAAACATAACATACCCTTAATGTGCGACTCTTTGCTTGCTATCATTTTTTATCATTTCTCTGACGAAGCAGAAAGAATAATGAGATTTATAATTCAGAGTTCTTAAAATTTATTTTCATTTTTAAAAAAACAGTGCATAATAAAGCATAATTACAACACCGAAATTCCCATGTTTCAAAACTGAAACTTCAATTTAAATTCAATCATACAATTGAACTTAAAATACAAAGTTCTGTTCCATTATCAAGCGATGCTAAGAATAACTTTTTAGAAAATGATTTACTTAATTTATAAGTTCAAATAAATTTGATATTTTGAGATGTTAGGGTTAAGGAAAATTCCTTCTTTTTTATTTTAGGAGTGTTAAAATTTAACTTATTTAGAAAACTCATGTATCCAATGTATCGTAGCTATCAAGCTGGTGAAGTCAAAGTCGGGGCTGGGGTATTTGTCTATTGATACAAACTTCTTTTTTTCAAGCAGAAATTTGTGGTAATGTCTATGTTCCAATACATCATCTGGGTTTCAATAGCAATACATTTGGCATTTTTATTTTTTATTTAATTTTTATTTTTATAAATTTCAATTATGATTTTTCTAAAAGAGACATCCGAATATTATTTAGTCACATTTTTAATATTTATATTTTTATTTGTACCGAATTTATGTACTAATTGATTACATATATGGTAATGTTAAAATTAATATATTAGAATCTAATTATATATTCATAAACTATTTTATATATGATCAAATATAAATATGTTAGTTTCATTTTATAAAATTAGCTATTACTTAAGAAAGAAATTGACAGTGTCTACAAAAACCGTTATTTCATTTCTTTGATTTAATAAATTTTTATTTTTCAGAAACTTAATAATATTTAACTTTTCATGTATGCACAAAGGACATGGATCATTTAAAGATCTACAAGTTCTTTTTTTTATGAATTTTCATTTTTTTTTTTTTTTTTTGGTTCTTTTAAATGCCAGAAATATTCAGATAAGCATGTCTGGCTGTGGTATTTAGTATTTTTGAAGGAATTTTGGTGTTGGTTTCATCTTAATTTAAATTCATTCTTTGTACATCCTACATAGACTCTAACATCATTAGGATTCTCAATAGATGAGAATACTTCATTGATAAACAAGGATTTTATACGATATTTATTATTCAGAGGACAATTTTCAAGATTTCTACAGTTACATAATTTTTCTTTATTTTTGTTTATTCCTATTTCATGATCTATATTTTTTTGATTTTGGTATAAGTTTTTATTCATGATTTTGGCATTATGTTTCTTGATAATCCTTTCTAATTTCTCAGTAGAACTGTAACTTATTTTTAAGGTATTTTTATTAAAAGTTTTGCTGAGTTTACTATTTCTAGGAAAATGTTTTTCGATTAATGCAAGGATTTTTTGTCCTAGTTTACTTATAACCATTTGTTTGAATTGGGGTGTAAACCAAATGATTTTTCTATTTCTATTTTTTCTTTGGTTTCTATTATTATTTTTTACATAATTAATTTTGAACTTTAATGGCCACTATCATAGAAATTGCTATGTTCATAAAATATTTTTTCATTTGCTGAATTAGTATTTATTCTTTTTTTTTGATAAATGAAGGTATATGCTTAATTCTTGATGGAGGATGATTACACTTGGGTTTTATATATAGAGGATTAGTATTGGGTTTTTTGTAAAGTACGTATACATTATTCATTAAATCTAATGTTATATCTAGGAAGTCTACTTTTTTAAATTAGTATTTACAGTAATTTTCAAGTTTAGGCATTTAAATTTTCTGTGTAATAGCTTTCTAATTTTATCTATTTTAAAGTTAGTGCACTTTCTTATAACCATAAGTTCATCATCTCTATACAGTCTGATGTCGTTAATACTAATTTCACGATGTGCTATTATATAATATAAAAAGACGAATAAGGTCAGAAGATGCTGCAGAGTTCAATGATCCCATTGTGATGTCAAAATGGTCATCAGAGTTTTTAATCCACTGGTCGCCATTATAAATGTTTACCAATTTTTTTTTTTTTTTTTTTGCATTCATAATTATGTTTTCTCTTCATCGATTAGGTCAAAGTATTGGGTAGCAAAATCCAGGACAGCCGTGAAAGTTCCCTTGATATTGATCAGTAGTATTCTTAAATATCAAACTGTACAGTATGGTTTCTCTTTAATATTAGTAAATCAATTTGTAACTTCTTTGGTATTAATCCATAGTTTTAATCCCATGTAATCCTTCATTTGTTGGTTAACCCTTTCCAGGTCTTTTTTACTTATTTTTCCGATTCCTGGTCGCATTGGGTTGATAATTCTTGTAATTGAATTAGCTTCAAATTCAGGTTATGATCCTTTATGGTGATATAGCAATTTCGGTTAGTTTGCCTGTCCTATCACTAATATTCAATTTATCTGTGATGTTTTTACTACTAAAATTAATGTTTTCTGTCATGTTAATATTACTTTTATTACCCTTTTTATAGTTCTTCGTTAATTTTTTTATGAGGTTGTTGTAGTCACTTATAAAAATTTCCAGTCTTATCAAATTTTACTAATACCTTATCTGTTTCATTTATGTTATTTAGTATTTTATCCAGATGCTGTTGGAAGTTACATTTCTTTTTTTGGAAGATACCTTGCTTATAATTTCAAGTAAATCCTTTTCAAATTCAAACAATCCTTCAATAAATGGTGGTGTTTTTTTTTTTTGTTTTTGTTTCTGAAACCGTATACTCCACGTTCGTTTGATGAGTTATTTTGTTGAACTCATCAAACGAACCTGAGGTGTTCTGGTTTCAACAATAAACATGTGAATTTGGGAGTTGCGATGATTATATATTTTTAAACAAACAATATATATATATATATATATATATATATATATATATATATATATATATATATATTATAAATTAATTGATTTAAAATATTTTTTTTGCTACACAGTTCCAACCATGTTTCAAAAATAGAAGCTAAAAACCCTGAATTCAATTTTGCAATTTAAATTAAAAGCATTAGTTCCATTTCATCTTCAAGCGAAAAAAACCATATTTTAAATCAATTAATTTATAATATTAATGCTCTGTAAATTTACATTGAGCACTATTTTGTAAAAATAAAAAATATCACCGGATTTTTATATCTTACTCTTCTTTCTTTTTTTTTTATATATATATATATATATATATATATATATATATATATATATATAATTTCACCCCAAACAAGCTGATAATGCCACTAAGACGCTCGAAGTTACTGAGAGGGAAAGAGAATGCGAAGACTTTAGGAAAGAGAAAGGACAATAGAAGCAGAATTCACGAAGACAGAATATGACGATTGATGTTACATTTAAATTTTGACGAACATAGGGGACAGTAAAGCAAGAAACTTGAAGGGTTCCACACACAAACACACACACACACACACATATATATATATGTGTGTGTGTGTGTGTGTGTGTGTGTGTGTGTGTTCTGTGTATCTCGTCCTTTTATGACATAGGTAATCATAGCTCTCCACAAGTTTCTATTCCTTATGGCTCTTAGCAGCTTTTTTCCCTCTTGCTAAAGCTCCCGACCCACACTCTTCTGGCATTATTCAGACAAGCGTGTCAGGAAGGTAGCTTGCTGCATGCCCCTATTCCTCTTGTTCTCAGAATGCCTTGTGAGAGTTAAATTTTCCAAGCCCTCCTTCCTCATTATGTATCCGAGGAATTTTATCTTTCTCTCTTCTCCAGAATATTCTGAGCATAATTTTTCTTTTTGTTGCCATTTTTTAACACGTTATCATTATTCACTCCATCCTTGGAAATCTCAAAGTCATTTTAAAATCACCTTTCTGTTGTCTCCAGTATTCTCATCTGTGGGGAGACTGTCCAGCATTCACTGCCATATAAGAGGATGGATGCCACATAGCAATCCAAAATTCTTTTCTTTGTTTCTAACGAATTATTTTATCAAATAAAAATATACTGATCACTGACATTTTTTTAATATTTAAAACATTGCAATAATTTAAATGCATTTGATATTTTAATTTTAATTTTTAATTGCAAGAAAAATATTAAAACATTTTGTACTTACAATGTTGTTTTTAACTCAATCTCTTATGTAAAATTGTGTCATCCAAAATTACATCATTTATTTCCTTATTGATATCTGCCAATAAAAATTAAATCTTTAATTAAAAATCATTCAAAAACAAGCGACTTTATAGAAACAAAATTTAAAGAAAATGAATCAATTTAATGACTATTTAAATGTATTTTGGAAAAATACCAATTATATTTTACTAAAAATATACTGAAAATACAATTTTAAAGTGTGTAACTATTGCATGTCAACTCAGTTCAAAAGTCAGGTAGATACTGAGTGACTTTTCCTTAACCGTAATTCATGAAATCAATTGCACTGCCGAAGACTAAAAACCACATAATGTAATATTGCCTACAATGACAATAGTATATTTATAGCATTAAATACAATCATATTGCAATATGACAAGCAGCCACAACTCTTTATATTTTAGCGCTAAAGAAGTTGGAAACAAGCTTCGTGTTAACGATTTTCTTGAATTTGCTGCGAATGCAAAGGTTGTGAAAATTGTATTTTGGGTAATTAATCTGTTCATTATTTTTATGAGACATGGTTTAACTTAAACTTTTGGCTTTAGATTTGGATCGAATGCTTTTCATACGTAGGGTGCTTCTACAACAACAAAAAAAAACAACATTTAATGCATCTACATAAAAAGCTTCTATTATAAGATTCCCTAATAAACACAAGAAATTTCTTACTTTAACTGCATCGCGGGGAAAGTCATCCCAAGAAGTACTTATAAAGTATTCATGACTACAATAGGCATCATTTCTGCTTGACAAAAAATTAAACCTGCTTTTAACTAGTATAATTATTAAGGTGATGAAATTTTAATTTCTCGAAATTTCATAAAATTAAGTAGGGTTAACAGATGTAAAAGAATATATATTTTTACCAAGATTTTCTGAAAAAAAATTTAAAATAATGTCAGTAATTTTTGAATAGGTCCGAAAAATTTCATTAAAATCCGAAAATTATTTGATTTTTGCAAGTATTTCCAAATCAATATTTTTTTACTGCAAAAACGACGCTAAAATTTCTAATCCTTTGCCCCGCTTCCCACGCTGAACCAAGAAAAACAAGATTTTTAACCAAAATTTCGAACCTGCATAAAAGATTAAAAAATTTAATAAAAAATACCCTGGACTTTTCTTTTAATAGTAACATAAGAATTTTGACGATAAAATTTTGTTTTTAAGTTTGGGACCTTTTTCCTCATGGTATGATTTTTTTCAGTGAATTAGTGGAATAACAGAATAAAATCTAGAATAATTACAGGATTCTATTTAAGTGCATTAAGAATTTGCAACCCAAGATAGTTACCTAAAAAAGAAATATACATAGAAAACACTTTCAAAAACCACCAATATTTTCGTTATTTCATCTGCAGTACTAAGATAATGGTATACATAATATACAACTGCCAAAAAAGATAATGGCATTATTAACAAAAATAACAATGATAATAAACTAAATAAAAACAAACATATAATACTACCTACTAACTACTTAACATCTACAATTTATCCAATCTTAACAATATCAAAATAATTAAAACAGCATTCAAAACTATTATGAATATGTTCAGAACCAAAAATAATCATAGCAATAATAATTCTGAAGCATATATATATATATATATATATATATATATATATAAAATAAACTGTTACAAATTCTCACACTACATTGGGGAAACCTGCAAAAATTTTAACAAGCGTATCTATAAACAACAACGAAAAGATCTTATATACAACAATTTATCAAATACATTTTAGACAGAAATAAATTCAACCACGACTTTGATCTAAAAGTGCCAAAGTTATTAAAAGAGAAAGTAAATTACATGGAATGAAAATTCTCGAAAGTGCCGCTATCGAATCTTATCAAATTTAAATCTGCGCCCCGGATTTCTTTCTTTTTTTCAAATATCTCCGTTCCTGAAAGAATTACTTCTCTTCCAGCTAACATATATGACTCTAAAAATGTCAAAAAATTAAAATAAAATAGTTAAATTATCCTGTTATTTAAAATATATAATACATAAATTCATTCCATGCTAAAATAATTTAAATATCAATTAAATTATATAAAAAGAAAATTCAGCAAGATTTACTCCCTTTTGTTTATTAGACATTAAATGATGTAAATTACCATCCTCCAGAATTTACCTTAACTTTTCAAGTAGCCTGATGAATATTTATGAACCTTTCTTAAATTTAAACATTTTGAAAAACTAACGTTTTTGCTTTTGTTTATAAATACTTGTTGCAGAATAAAATTCTTATATTTGTCTTGATAAAGTCCCTCAGAGGACGAAATACGTCGGTTAAGATAAGTTTTCTTTAAGTCTTTATTTGTATATATAGTTTATTATATACATATATATATATATATATATATATAATCAAAATTTCTTATCTTTTTCTTCATTTTTCTCTATCTCTTTTATTTTTATTTTTCTCTCTCTCTCTCTCTCTCTCTCTCTCTCTCTCTCTCTCTCTTACTTTCTTTTCCTCAATTTTTTCTTTTTGTCCCTATTTTTCTTTCTTTCTTTTTCTATTCTTATTTTTCTATTTCTATTTATACACAATTTCACAATCTCTTCACTACTTACTTTTTCTCTCTTTTTTCTTTCCTTTTATTATTTTTCGTTCTCTCTCTCTCTCTCTCTCTCTCTCTGTATCTTTCTCTCACTCTTACTCTGCCTCATCTATTTTATTCACTCTTCTCTTTGTTTCCCTCCGTTTTACATTTTACCTTTCTTTCTGTACTTTTCCCTCCCTTTCTCTCTGTCTCTCCCTGTCTTTGTCTCTGTCTTTCTCTCTCTCTCTCTCTCTCTCTCTCTCTCTCTCTCTCTCTGACTTTGTTCATCTCCTCTACTTATTTATAACAAAGTCGTAGTCGTTGAAACTAATTATCTTTTCTATATTCCCATTTTTTATTCTTTCTCTCTTTCGCTGTTCATGAGAACCATATGCCTCACAAGACCAATTAGTGACGACAAATGCTATTCGTTTGAAAACAATTGACATTCCGTAGTAGAAACGAAATAACCATTGACAGTAAAGTGACCACTGGCATTTTCGGATGCCAGCACCGCCGTAAGCATCAATGGATTTGCAGGCGCATGATTCCGTAAATTTGATAGGGTAGGGAAAGGAAATCACCTACAGTATTCTGAATACTAAAAGGTCAACGAAACGCCTTTGAATAATGTTTTTTGAAACGGGTTGTACATATTCAAGACTGACGCCGCAATCTGTCTAATACAATATGTGATTAATATTTCAAATGGAATTCAGATTGTCCTGATTATTATTTTTAGACGTTTTCTACAGTTTTATGTGCATGCTTATACTAGTTTGATACCCGTCGTTTCACTGAAAGCAGGATGATTAAATTTAAAATCTGAATTGTTTGTCCATTTAAAATAATACGTTTATTTAATATATACATATATATACATATATATATTCAGTTTAAATTCAGAAGACATAAGTTACCAAGCAGAAAGAGAAATTAAGCAGTGATGTGTCTACGTCAGTTTCATTAAAATTTGTGTATGTACTTTTGCGTGTACACATTTATGTTAATTCAGTCAAATATTTTATTTCTACAAAAAAATGTCTCATATTTATTATCAAATAATTTTCAAAAAGTTCAATAAAATCTTATAATTACCTAATTATTTGGGGTTTAAAAATGAGTGTTTTTTTTTACTGAAGTTAGTCTCCTCAATCTAATTGTGCATTTTACCTGAATTTACTTCACTATGGCCATTCTTGAAATGTTTAACGAACCTAAATTAACATTGTTATCGTAAGTAATGAACTTAACTTTACTTTGTGGTAATCTCTATGCTGTTAGGTTCCAGTTATTATTAATAGACCGATATATGATAGAAATAATGAAATAATCGATAAAATACTAAAAATCATCACTCATTGTAGGAAATAGGAACGAAACTTAATATTTTATTATTTTCCTTTTTTATTTTATTTCACAATCATACACCCATATCAAGAAAGAAACGGGTGAACAGAGAGGAAAAAGTTGATAAGTGTGTCTGTCTTTTCATCTCTTCATTTTTCTAAATATCGGTTTCGACGTATGAGGTTCCAACAACTTTGTTTATTTAACCTTGTGTGTGAGTCGCAAGTGACACTTCAGTTCTGCTAGTGATTTGCAAAGAAGTCCACAGATTGAGCAAGAGTGTGGATTCTTGGAGTATATGGCTGGAACAGCAGCAGATATTTTATTCCTTTCCCTTGTTTGACGAAGCTTGACAATGTTTGATGCTGCCTTGTTCTTGATGCCATTGTAGCATGTAGTCTTCTATTCATTACGATCAGTTACGATGTTCTCAAAGGTAGTGTGATTTATATTCGCAGCTAAGAGGTTACTCTTCAGCTTGTCCCTGTACCTAAGCAAAGGCCGACCCACGTTTCGATGACCATTGTCAAGTTGACCATACATGAGCATTTTTGAAATTCTGTTGTCTTGCATACGTAACACATGACCTGTCCAGCATAATTGTGATTTCATGAGAAAGGACTCAATACCATCAATATCACACATGGTGAAAAGGTCTGCATATATATATATATATATATATATATATATATATATATATATATACGTCTCTACAAATATAATACGATTATAAATACACCGGTCTAACAGTAGGAAATTACTAAAAATAAGACAAAAAACAAACTTTAACAACGTTAGCTACAAACGCGGTTATAATTTATATATCACCAACTTACACAAGCAAAATCCATGAAAATTTCTAAGGCATTAGCCGAAAGCGCACAGAATGAACGATCATTTTGGTAATTTCTAGATAGACATCATTTGAAAAAGAAATCTCTTGTTCACATACAGGAAACTTACAATGAAAAAAATTACGTAAGTACTTTGTGGGATAACTATATATAATTTTTATATATCAAGAAAATCTTTGATCAGGAAAAAGTCTATGACAAAGTAGAAAAAGTTTTCCGTGTGATGCGTTTCGTAGGATGGAGCCTAAAGGACGAAATGAGTCACACGAAAACTTTTCCACTTTGTCATACATGTTTCCACCATAAGTACTTTGTCAGTCATTTTTAACGAAATATATATTACAGAGCGATTACTGTCCAAACTCTCAAATATATACACACACACACACACACACACATATATATATATATATATATATATATATATATATATATATATATATATATATATATACATACACGCCATTGCATATAAATATCCATACGTGTGTATGTATGATATTCACTTGCGATGAGAACATTTGAAGAGAGAAAATGAATAGTTAAATATTTCTAACTTAATGTAATAATATACGCTCTGTAAAATATCTGTAAATAGTTGTTCATTTCTATAGAGAATCTGTTGCAATTGTATAAGAATATTGTTAAGAAAAATTACATTTTATTTACAAACTCACTGGATCAAAAGATCTATTAAATTTACAAATATAAAATAATACTATTAAAAATTATGAAAATATCGAACTGAAATGGTTAAGGCAACTGCTGTAGAATAACAGCAATATATTCTAAAGATACTGTTATAAAAAAGAGTTAAAATGCCTTTCCAATCATATAAGGTTTCTGTTGTAATGTTAACAATATTGCTGGTGATGTATTAAAACTTTCTTGTAATATCTTATATACTTTATTTGCTTCATTCATTCATTTTCTGCGACTTGTCAACCCATTGAAGGTTATTTAATACCAGAAAATATTTTTAGATTGTAAGAATTTTTTTACATTTTAATGGTTTAGTTAAAAAATAGTCTTACTAATTAACCAATATCTGAGTGGAGGAGAAGTGGATTTATATCTTTCCCAGTAAATGAATATAAGGAATCCAACGCGAATCGGAACTTGGCTCTCCGATTAAGAATTTCGGGTCATTATTCATTACACCACCTGCACATGCAAGCTTACCGCACTTAGTATTACCAAGCGGTCACCTATGTGGGTAATGGGCAGGCACGATGTTGTTTAACTTCGGTGATCGTACGGGAACCAATATTTCAACGTGATGTGGCCTCTTAATATATATGACAGTGTGCAAAAGAATGTAAGGATATCATTATAAAGTATAGAGTGTATAACAATGTATAAAGCTTTTGCCAACCGAATATTACACTCTAAAGATATTGTTATAAAAACGAGTTAAAATGTTCTTCATACCATATAAAGTGCCTGTTGCAGAGTTAGGAATATTGCGTCATAGTCTGGTGACCCATTAAAGCTTTCTTGTAATGTCATATATGCTATCATATGAGGTGCCTGAAGTAGAGTTAGCAATGTTGCTTCATAGTCTAGTGACCTAATAAATCTTTCTTGTAATGTCTTATGAGCTATTATATGGGATGCCTTCTGTAGACTTAGAAATATTGCCTCATAGGCTGCTGATCGATTAATGTTTTTGTCATGTTTCATAAGCTATCATATGAGGTGTCTGCTGTAAAGAAGTAGAATTGCTTCAAAGGCTGGTGACCCGTCAAAGCTTTCTTGTAATATCTTAAGATCTATCATATGAGGTGAGTGCTGTAGAGTTAGCTCTATTGCCTCATAGGCTGCTGACCGAATAAATCTTTCTTGTAATGTCTCATGAGCTATCATATGAGGTGCCTTTTGTAGATTTATTAATATTGCCTCATAGGCTGGTGGCCCATTAATGCTTTCTTTTAATGTCATGTGTTATCGTATGAAGTGTCTGCTGTAGAGTTAGCAATATTGCCTTATAGGCTGGTGACCCATTAATGTTTTTTGCCATGTCTTATGAACTATCATATGGTGTCCTGCTGTAGACTTAACAATATTACTTCATAAGCTGGTGACCCATTATATTTTCTTGTCATGTCTCATGCGCCATCATATGAGTTGACTGCTGTAGATTTAGCAATATTGCTTTATATGCTGGCGACCCATTGATGTTTTTGTGATGTCTTATTAGCTATCATATGAGGTGCTTGCTGTAGAGTTGCAATATTGCCTCATAGACTGCTCACCCATCAAAGATTTCTTGTAATATCTTATGACCTATCATATAAGGCGTCTGCTTTAGATTTATTAATATTGACATATTCTGGTGACCCATTAATATTTTCTTGTAATATCTATCATATGAGGTGACTGCTGTAGAGTTAGCTCTATTGCCTTATATGCTGCTGACCGAATAAATCTTTCTTGTAATGTCTTATGAGCTATCATGTGAGGTGCCTACTGTAGATTTAGTAATATGGCCTCATAGGCTGGTGACCTATTACAGCTTTCTTTTAACTTCTTATGTACTTTTGCCAAATTAATATTACATTCTAAAGATATTGTTATAAAAACAAGAGCTAAAATATTCTTCATATAATATAATATGCCTGCTGCAGAGTTAGGAATATTGCCACAGAGGCTGGTGACCATTTAATACTTTCTTTTAACGTTTTATGAGCTATCATATGAGGAGCCTGCTGTAGATGTAGCAATATTGCCACATAGTCTGGTGACCCACTAAAGTTTTCTTGTCATGTCTATAACCCTTCTGCTGATCTAATATTAACCTAATGTTACATTCTAAAGACTAAACCAGCCTTTGAAGTTTATGTAATATATATGTTAGCAGCAGGGAAAATGAGTAACAGGTAGCTATGAAACTAATGATTTATATGTATGAATGCAGAGCGGTAACAAAATTATTTTACAAATGTTTTGTTTTAGTAAATCTTGCTAAGATTTGTTTTTACATCTGTTGTCCACATTTATTTAATTTTATGATAATTCGATGAATTCAATGGTGTAAAGGTTAATTTTTATATTAGTTAAAAGCAGAAGTCCTT